CATCGGGGTTTTCCGACGTGGTAAACCGAGGCTATCAATTGGCGTGCACGTAATTGGCAGTTTGAATTCGATATAAGCAGAGGCCTTGGTGCCGCTGCCCGGGCACAATTTTCCTCATAGCACACTGTATGGCGTATGCAGCTGCCCGGGCACAATTTTCCGGGATCTAAATGAAGTGGGGGCTACGGTGGCTCAGTGAGTAGGACGTTTACTGTCTAACTTCATCAAAGTGCATCGGGATTTTTCTGGAGATGTCCTCCCTTGTCAGTTGTGTAGGATGGAGGACGGGGGGGGGGGGGGCAACGGATAACGTGTAGTCGTTCAGATGGGACAAAAAAAGCGGGGTCCCGTGTACACATTGGCGTCTGTCATTGAGTCAAGTGGCTCGGTTTCGATTCGCCGCTTGAACGTGACAATGATTAGGATCGTCTGTCCAATCGTGTGGGTTTTCTCCGGGTTCTCCGGATTTCCCCCACTGCTAAAGACCCCTAAACGCAAGCAAATTATTGAAATAAAATTGTTAGTATCGGAATGACCTGGTTTGTGCCTCTCTTTCACACTCATTGGTGTCCAGGTACAAGAACCCTTTACCGTTAGAATTCGAAATAAGAGTAGGCCCTCGTAGCACACTGCATGACGTATATTCGCTTTCATTAGCTCAGTTGGAGAAGAACAGTATGGGTTTTGGTAGCCGAATGGTTAACGCATTCGCATTTGATCATAATGACTGTCATTGAATCGGGGTGTTCTCACTTTCCCAGCAGCTATTGTTTTCCAGGTAAAATCATTGGACCAGTACTAATTAGGGTAACAATGGTGTTAAAGCTATAGTCTTTTTCATATCAATATTAACCACTTTACATAAAAGTTATTTTATTAACAAATTTAGCATGTACATATATATTTTTCATATCAATATTAACTACTTTATATACAAGTTATTTTATTAACAAATTTAGTATTGTACATGTATATTTAAAATCCGACTTAATGTGATATCGAATTTCCATATTCATATAAAGTCGTCAAACCAGTTCATAATCTTTGTTTTTCATCATGTATTCTTCTGTTTAATTCTATGTATTTTCTTTTCTTTGGACTGAAACGCCTCCATTTCCATATTGTAAAATTTGTATCTCTGTGTAACCCTGTTCTGACGTAGTTCTATGAATCTAAAAATATTCGTGTGGTTTGACGATACTTTCTTTAACTTTGAATGCCAACCTTCAACATATTTTTGGTTGTCCTTGCACCTTCAGTGTAGAAATGGTTCCATAAACTTATATCTACACCTTCGACCCTTTGACATATGAACGAAAAATCAGACAGTGATTTATAGTTCATACATGTCAATAATTAAAACAGAGTATAACTCACTAATCAATAACTAACCCTAATCCGCTTAATTAGTAGGGTTAATCTGCTGGGAAAGTGAGAACAAACCATCGAATCAACTGGCGGGGTATCGATTCCCCGCTTGAACGTGTCAAGGGATAGGTCGCCTGTCGAACCACGTGGGCTTTTTCCGGGTCCTGAAAGTGTGCAGTTTGGTAGTTGATTCTGTGAAATAAATAACATTTTGCCACCAAGGCTCATTTAGGTGGTTTTGATGCAGCCTGAACGTACCCTTTGGTTTGTCCCGAATCCGAATCATGAGAACTTTGCGGTGATATCTATATCAATAAAATCAAGTTGTGTATGTATGTAAGTAGGTATGGATGTATGGATGTATGGATGTTCGCCCATCACGCTTCGTGGCCATGGGCATGAGAACTTTGCGGTGATATCTATATAAATAAAATCTAAGGTGTATGGGTGTGTGTATGTATCTTTGTGTGTATTTTCGCCCATCACGCTTCGTCGCCGCGCTCTACCACCCACTCATTATTATGTGGTATTAAATTAAACATCATCACAACATGAATGCTTTAGGCCATTGAATTCGGGTCCCATGCGAATTGCGCTTCGTCGCCGCGCTCCACCCCCACATATCTCGTATCAAATTAAAAAGCACGACCACGTGAATGTTTTAGGCCATCGAATCTGGGCTCCAGGCGAATTTGGGCCAAGAACGAATTGGACCTGGGGCGAATTTTGGTTTCGTGCGAATTTGAGCATTGGGCGAATATGGGCCACTGGCAAATTTGGGCTACGGGCGAACTTGGACCAAGGGCGAATTTAGGATCCGGGCGAGTTTGGGCACGTGTAAAGCCGGGTCTCCTACGAGTAATTTGATAATGCATCATAGAAAGGTAATGAACATTGATATGTTCATAACTTATTCATCCGTTAATTCGAAAACATAAACATCTTGGAGCCACCAAAGCTAATTAAGAAGTTATTATCTGCGCAGTGAGCCTAAAATAACCCGATTTTCCCATATTTTTGATACGTCTATGGTAATATATGTCGACAAAACAGCAAATAAGGCTTCTGGAATTTTGCAGTCTGGTAGTTCATTCATCCCTTGATTCTGTGAAATATTAAGTATTCTGCCACCAAAGCTGGTTTGAATACTTTTTGATGCAAGTACCCTCTTCTGCGTGCTCACTTAGTCTAGTGTGCGACATTTTAGTGTGTGTACAGTAATGACTTAATGTGGTTATTTTTTGTCTGGTACTAATGTGTTTTAAAACGTTATTTTCTAATACAAAGGTTACAATTATTATCTGTTTTTATTGACGTTCGACGTGGTTTCGAATCCCCGGTTGTACGTGACAAGGAGTAGGGTCGCCTGTCCAACCTCGTGGGTTTTCTCCGGGTCCTCCGGTTTCCTTTCACTGCTAAAGACCCCTATGCGCAAGCGAATTATTGAAATAATATTATTAGTCCCGAAATGACCTAGTTTGTGTCGAGTGGACGTTAAACCCCGTTTCTCTCTCTCTCTCTATTGACGTTCGAAATGAAAATGAAATGAGAGGGGGGGGGGGAAATGGGGTTGAACGTCCACTCTACAAATCAAGCAATTGACAGTTTTTTTTAGTGGGGGTGGAGGGTGGAGGACCTGAAGAAAACCCACAAGGTTGGACAGACGACCCTACTCCTTGTCACATATAAGCTGCGGATCGAAACTAGAGTCCCTCCCTCCGCGCCCCACACATCACCACGCCAATGTGTACACGGGACCTCGGTTTTTCATGCCATCCGAACAACATGCTGTCCCTATGCCTTCCGTCCTACACCACTGACAAGGGGATCCCTTGCCAGAAAAGTCCCGACTACGCACTGAGCCACAGTAGCCCCTACTTCATTTCAAATTCGGACACAGAACTTCGGTCTTTTTTATCCCATCCTTCCTTCAAAACTGGGGGGTTGGATGGCCGAATGGTTAGCATGTGCGTCCTGTATCATACGGTCTGTCATTGAGTCAACTGGCGTGGTTTCGAATCCCCGGTTGTACGTGACAAGGAGTAGGGTCGCCTGTTCAACCTCGTTGGTTTTCTACGGGTCCTCCGGTTTCCTCCCACTGCTAAAGACCCCTATGTGCAAGCGAATTAATAAAATAAACCATATGTTAGTCCCGAAATGACCTAGTTTGTGTCGAGTGGATGTTAAACCCCATTTCTCTCTTTCTCTCCTTCACAACTGACATCGGTAAACCCCGCCAGAAAATTTGAGTTAAACTTTGATGAAATGAAATGAAATGGGGTTTAACGTCCTACTGTTCTGCTCCAACTGGGCTAATGAAGACGGGCATACGCCATACAGTGTGCTATGAGGAAAATTGTGCCCGGGCAGCGGCACCAAGGCCGCGGCTTATATCAAATTCAAACTTCCAATTACGTGCACGCCAATTTATAGCCTCGGTTTTTCGTCCCATCCGAACAACTAGACAGCTGTCCTTGCTAAGCCCACCACCCTGCACCACTGACAAGGGGAAACCACATTGGAAAACCCTGATGAACTTTCTCGGCTAATGTAGGGATCGAACATGTGACCTCCAGTTTAGTAAGCCAGCGTCCTACCCACTTAGCCACCGTGGCTCTGAACTTTAATGATGTTAGAGAGCAAACGTCCAACTCACTGAGCCACCCTAACCCCCACTTCATTTCGATTCCGGACAAGGGACCTCGTTTTTTTTTAATGCCATCCGAACGACTATATCACCGTAAAAAAATTTCCGTCAAATTTACGGATAAATGGCTGGCAGCTAGGTTGCCAACTAATGTACGTAAAAATTACGACACACCATAAATATATTTTTACGAACATGTTGTAAAAATTACGACCAAATATTGGCAACCTACCTGCCAGCCATTTGTTCGTAAATTTTACGGAAAATGTTTTATAGCAGTAAAAAACTTATGGTATGATAAGCATCAAAAAGACATTTACTTAAGATTAAAAACAGAATTTAATTATTCAAAACAAGATATAATTCCTCAAAAATGCTTTTACATGATAGTTTAAGATATAATAAAAAGACCTGAAAATACTGGAAATTGGAGATTACTGTCAGTAAGTAAAGCTAACAACTGCCTTAAAAAAAAAACCTGTCAACCACAAATCCATATTTTTAAAATATTTGATCAAGAGCAGGTTTGCTATTACAATATGGAGGTTTAGAGATTGAAAATATTCTTTGGCTGTCAAGCAGTTTGGTGGTATATTTCAACAAAAACAAAGCTCTTTAAATAATTCTTCATTAATAATAATGAACATTTGTACATGGAAAAATGAAGACTTTAAAAAAAACGAAAAAGAATCTGTGACCTTTATTAACAAGGGAAATAACTCTCCAAAATATTTGTCAAGTTCTCTAAGACAGGCAAACACAAATTTCCAGCAAGTAAAAAATGAAAATTTCCATGGATGTATCAAATAATGGGTAGCAACAAAATACAAATGTCCAAAGGAAAGTTCATGAAAAATTTAACAATAATAAAATTATCCATTCAAATTCTTGTACATGTAACATTTACATTATAATATTTAAATGAATTTTTTATAGTATAACAATAACATTCAGAATCTATTCTACAAAAATAAAATCAGTGTGTTACTATAGTATTACCCTCAAATCTTTTTCTAAAATCTTACCAAGGTATTATAATATTTATCTCAAATCTATTATTTAAGACATCAACAACATGAAATAAAACTATCACCTTATCAGTAAATTATAACAGTAAAACATGATCTTATGAAATCATGAACATTTTTTGAGAGTAACGAACTTGCATTCTAAATGTTTAAATGAACAATTTAAAATCTAACAATTATTGAACCCCAAAAGTATCATGACTTTAAAACAAGAACAGCATCAATGCAGAATTCCTATTATACTACCTTGAATGTACAGCTTGTTTCAATGATTAGCTTAATCTCTGTTTGAAAATGTATAAAATTTTGCACAATAACTCTGCCTAAGTATGTAATTCCTTAGTGAGAATGGTATAAATTGATTCAGTCTTGTTGATAAAAATTTAGATGGAACTCGACTACTGACAAAGTTAATGTACCAGTCCCAAAATGAAATGTATAGATGAGAGTTGCACATTTTTAATGTTTATGCAACGCAGCCGCATATTTAGAGACAAAATGAACGGAGGATAATTTTACAAATATACCAAATTGTGAATGGACAAACTAAATGACCAACAGATTTTTCCATTAAAGTAAACGGACATCTTATCAAAAGTACAATAAGAAGATCAAGTTTAATTAAGAAAATTCATTACAAAGATTTTACAAATGTACAAAATTGTGGATGGACAAACTAGATGACTAACAGATATTTCCATCAAAGTAAACTGACATCTAATCAAAACTAAAATAAGATCAAGTTTAATTAAGAAGATTCATTAAAAAGATTTCTTGCAGTGTGTTTAAAGCCTCATTTACAAAGTACCACTCATAAAAGGACCATGGCTCGGTCCCTTATCCCCAATTTTATCCACACTACACTGTATGTGCTGCTTGCAACGATACATATCACAGTATTTCTTCTTGGACGTGTTTCCAGTTCTGTAAGAAATGTCAACAAAACAATGGCGACACACTGTCACATTATTAGTCACTGCTTTTCCATCTGTTTTTAATTCAAAATGTTCGCATGTCCGGGATTTGTGGTTCGGCGTAGGGGAATGTACTTTCAGTGGAACAAGTTTCAATGCAGAAAGCCATCACTTTTCCTTGTCGCATGAACTACAGGGGAGTATTCTGCATGATAATTGAGCATCGGAAGAAAACGGACAGTTAAAATATCTGTACCATGTTAACCGAACCGTGGTACGGAATTTAAAGCACCTTGACCCGAAATGTGACATCTAAACCACTGTATACCATCTCACGGTACCAGTATATTGCTGCAACCATACTTCATCCATTCAAAGTTTGACGGTTCAGTAATTAGTTATATCACTTTTTGGCACACTTGAGTCTTCCTCTTTTTCATGATTTCTGCCCGTTATCTGGGTTTATTTCAAAAATGCACCTGCAAAACAAATATTCTCAATCAGGTTTTTTCTTATGACATCCATTTCAAAAGAACACATTTAAATTAAGGAAAAGGGAGCTAAATGTGCGAGAAAATAAAGTTTCATGTCCACAAACAGGAGACTAAACATATCACACAGGAGAATACTACCAGTGTAGACTGGAATAACCAGACACCAATGACTGCCACTCAATTTGTACACTTTGCATATTTTGCCGAGCATAACTGATTAGAAATTACACTAAAAACAGAAACGACTGAATGTAAATCAGTTTATATACATTCATTTTACATTATTGCTTTGCGACCTATTTGTGTTCATTTCTAGGTGCCAAAGAATACAGATTAAGCTCCTTTACTTTTAAGTTAGGTTGAACTTCTCTGATCATATTGGTATTCGGTAAAGCAACACCCATCGTTTTATCGTGGGTTAAAACCCACGCTTTCTAATCTTCTCTCATTACCGCATCTTGGGTTTCTGATCAGATTTTTGGACAAACCAGTGGCGACTCTGCACCTATGACAGGTAATAACTTCTCTGATCATATTGGTATTCGGTAAAGCAACACCCATCGTTTTATCGTGGGTTAAAACCCACGCTTTCTAATCTTCTCTCATTACCGCATCTTGGGTTTCTGATCAGATTTTTGGACAAACCAGTGGCGACTCTGCACCTATGACAGGTAATAACCAGATTAAAATGGGATTCACTTGTTGCTAATAGGGCCCACCCCAAGGGAGAGAAATGGGGTCATTTTTGGACTTATAATATATAACATGTAGAATTTTATTTCAATAATTCACTTTAAACCGTAGGTATTTATAAACAGTGGGAGGAAAACGAACAAGGTTAGTCAGGCAATTTTACTCCTTTCCACGCCACTTGACTCAAAGACATACATTCTGACTTAACTAAGGCCCATGTTAGACCATGAACCTTATATAATAAGCGGCATGGTTAGATCATTCATCCAACCACCCCTTCAAATTTCAAGGTTAGGTCCAAGCAGAGGGCAGGAAGTGTTGGTTTTCACTGACAATGTCGTTGATCCACTCAATTCCCATAATTATTATCTTCAATCTAGTAATTTTTCTTTAGTTTTACTCTTACCTTTGAAAAAATTTCAGTAGGCTAACCCAGAGAAAGGCTGGGTAGGCTACTCTGTACTCAATAGATGACAGGAATGGCACTCAAAGATGCAATAAGTTGTGCCTAAAAAAATTAGTAAAATGAAAAATTAAAGATCTTATTATCCAGACGTACAATGACAATTCCCTCAATATAATATAAATTCTTAATGCTTATTAATAATGATGGTTTTCAGTGGTAGTCTATTATACTAAGATAAAGATAGACATGAAGCCCAGAAATGTTAGCCCTTCATATAGTTCATATAGGCCTATTTATTTCTATCAATGAGTTTGAATGGGTTATGTCATCCGAGTAGCCTCAACTAGAACTGAAGCCTTCAAAAACAATGCTAAAAAATATTAGGCCTAGCAGTAGCACTAGCAGTATGTCCATGGCATTTGTCAAAAATCAGTGAGTTAGGCCATAGATAATACCGTATTATCTATGGTTAGGCCTAGATCTAGGCAGTGGCTATTTGCCACATGTGGTAAGCAAGAATGTCAAAATAGCCCTGCGGCTACAGACCACAATTATTAACCGATTTCAATGAAACTTACAGATTATAATAACATTAATAATATCTCAAAATAGCCAAACTTTCGGCCACTTCCGGTTAGCGGTTTCCGAGATATCAGGTTACCACACATTTTATGTGGCACGGCTACATACCACAATTATCAACCGATTTCAATGAAACGTACAGCTTATAATAACATTAATGATATCTCAAACTAGCCAAAATTTCGGCCACTTCCGGTTAGCGGTTTCCGAGATATCAGGTTACCACACATTTCATGTGGCACGGCTACAGACCACAATTATCAACTGATTTTAATGAAACTTACAGATTATTATAACATTAGTAATATCTCAAACTAGCCAAAATTTCGGCCACTTCCGGTTAGCGGTTTCGGAGATATCAGGCTACCACACAATTCATGTGGCACGGCTACAGACCACAATTATCAACCGATTTCAATGAAACTTACAGATTATAATAACATTAATAATATCTCAGCATAGCCAAAATTTCGGCCACTTCCGGTTAGCGGTTTCGGAGATATCAGGTTACCACACAATTCATGTGGCACGGCTACAGACCACAATTATCAACCGATTTCAATGAAACTTACAGATTATAATAACATTAATAATATCTCAAAATAGCCAAAATTTCGGCCACTTCCGGTTAGCGGTTTCCGAGATATCAGGTTACCACACATTTCATGTGGCACGGCTACAGACCACAATTATCAACCGATTTCAATGAAACTTACAGATTATAATAACATTAATAATATCTCAAAATAGCCACAATTTCGGCCACTTCCGGTTAGCGGTTTCGGAGATATCAGGTTACCACACAATTCATGTGGCACGGCTACAGACCACAATTATCAACCGATTTCAATGAAACTTACAGATTATAATAAGAGTCTTAATATCTCAAACTAGCCAAAATTTCGGCCACTTCCGGTTAGCGGTTTCCGAGATATCAGGTTACCACATATTTCATGTGGCACGGCTACAGACCACAATTATCAACCGAGTTCAATGAAACTTACAGATTATAATAACATTAATAATATCTCAAACTAGCCAAAATTTCGGCCCCTTCCGGTTAGCGGTTTCTGAGATATCAGGTTACCACACATTTCATGTGGCACGGCTACAGACCACAATTATCAACCGATTTCAATAAAACTTAAAGATTATAATAACATTAATAATATCTCAAACTAGCCAAAATTTCGGCCACTTCCGGTTAGCGGTTTTCGACATATCAGCATAACCCCCCTTAACAAGCTTGTGCCGGCAGTTCCAGAAAGTATGCCAAACTACCCATCTCCATCTGACTTTGGGTTCATTACTAAGGAGTCGACTGGGAATCTGCCTTCTTGGGGAGGGAGAGGGGTAAATGAATGGAATCAATTGATTCATTTGTCCAACACTTGTACTATTGATAATTTTCTTGCCATATTTTTGTGTAACAGGGCATGTTTTTTTAAAGTTATGACTGACTTCTCATCTTTCGAACTTGAAGAGACGAACCAGGCTGTAATACAGAGGTTGCTTAAAAGCGTTGAGTTGCTCTCTAAAGGTTTGGATTTTGAGGGTAAGTATCATTTCTTTGGAAAACATGACTCTAGCCAAATATCAGTTGATTTGTATGGAAGTGAATATGAAATATTTATTTCGAAGTTCACTTTCATGTTTCAAACTACAGAAATATTTTCTTTCTCTCAACCCGATTGTAATTTTGTTCAACAATTTGTTGACGGAAAGACTGCAGTGGCAATAAAACCATTCCCCTCCCCCAATGACTCGGCTTTTCTCAAAAGTTTAGAAACATGGCATCAGTTGGGCAGTGAAACGGATAAGCCGTGTCCGAATTGCACGACAAAATTAAGTATCAGGCGTATTTGGAAACAACAACCACCACCATTTTTAATATATCAACCACATGCATGTAACATGAACAACTTACACTATGAAGATATTCCGATTAGCATAAACGTTCTTACAACACCTTACATACTAATCGGAATAACTTTTCATAATAATGCACATTTTACATGTATAATACGCATTCAAAACAAATGGCTGAGGTATAACGGACTCCAAAATATTAAGATTACCCCTATAAAAGACAATGAAAAGTTAGGCAGCATTGGTTCTATAGTTTATTTGCGCGAGGATTAGAATAGGATCTGCGCATAATGTATCTGCTTAAACTTTGTTTTGGTTTGTAGACTATTATTGATGGCACAAATAAGAGCTAATTAGAACACAATGGTACAAAAGATTACTAAATACTGTGTTATTTATTTCAGAGACATCTGTGTGTGATCACCAAAGACAACAATAACTATTAGTCATGTCAAAACTCCATTATCAACTTTTAATAGACCATTAACAAAGATTCTATCACTGATCAACATCAAATCCAAACTTCAGAACCACTTGCGATCTTCATAGGTTCTGCCATTACGCCACGATCGCTTAAAACAAATTTTACTGCTAATTTTCAATACACACATCTTGAGGTTCGATTACTGTAACAGTGTTTTGAATAGAGTTCCCAAAAACCCGTCTGCAAAACTCAAAATAATTTCAAAACACCGCCGCCAGAATAATAATAAGAACACAAAAATACTCTCACATGACTCCAATCCTAAAATCCTTACATGAGTTACCAATAGGATCCCGGATAACTTTCAAGATTTTAACATTGGTGTATACTGTATGCGTCAACATGACCTTTCTCCACCTTACCCCACGGATCTCATTCAATCATATCAAACAGATCGACCACTTCGCTCACAAAATACACACTCATTAGTTGTGCCACAAGCTAAACTGAAATCCTATGGGGATAAAGATTTTAATGTTTGGTAACCTGATATCTCCGAAACCACTAACCGGAAGTGGCCGAAATTTTGGCTAGTTTGAGATATTAATACTCTTATTATAATCTGTAAGTTTCATTGAAATCAGTTGATAATTGTGGTCTGTAGCCGTGCCACATGAAATGTGTGGTAACCTGATATCTCGGAAACCGCTAACCGGAAGTGGCCGAAATTTTGGCTAGTTTGAGCTCATAATACTCTTATTATAATATGTAAGTTTCATTGAAATCGGTTGATAATTGTGGTCTGTAGCCGTGCCACATGAAATGTGTGGTAACCTGATATCTCGTAAACCGCTAACCGGAAGTGGCCGAAATTTTGGCTAGTTTGAGATAATAATACTCTCATTATAATCTGTAAGTTTCATTGAAATCGGTTGATAGTTGTGGTCTGTAGCCGTGCCACATGAAATGTGTGGTAACCTGATATCTCGGAAACCGCTAACCGGAAATGGCCGAAATTTTGGCTAGTTTGAGATATTATTAATGTTATTATAATCTGTAAGTTTCGTTAAAATCAGTTGATAATTGTGGTCTGTAGCCGTGCCACATGAAATGTGTGGTAACCTGATATCTCGGAAACCGCTAACCGGAAGTGGCCGAAATTTTGGCTAGTTTGAGATAATAATACTCTTATTATAATCTGTAAGTTTCATTGAAATCGGTTGATAATTGTGGTCTGTAGCCGTGCCACATGAAATTTTGGCTAGTTTGAGATAATCATACTCTTATTATAATCTGTAAGTTTCATTGAAATCGGTTGATAATTGTGGTCTGTAGCCGTGCCACATGAAATGTGTGGTAACCTGATATCTTGGAAACCGCTAACCGGAAGTGGCCGAAATTTTGGCTAGTTTGAGATATTATTAATGTTATTATAATCTGTAAGCTTCGTTAAAATCGGTTGATAATTGTGGTCTGTAGCCGTGCCACATGAAATGTGTGGTAACCTGATATCTCGGACACCGCTAACTGAAAATGGTCGAAATTTTGGCTAGTTTGAGCTCTTAATACTCTTATTATAATCTGTAAGTTTCATTGAAATCGGTTGATAATTGTGGTCTGTAGCCGTGCCACATGAAATGTGTGGTAACCTGATATCTCGTAAACCGCTAACCGGAAGTGGCCGAAATTTTGGCTAGTTTGAGCTCTTAATACTCTTATTATAATCTGTAAGTTTCATTGAAATCGGTTGATAATTGTGGTCTGTAGCCGTGCCACATGAAATGTGTGGTAACCTGATATCTCGGAAACCGCTAACCGGAAGTGGCCGAAATTTTGGCTAGTTTGAGATATTAATACTCTTATTATAATCTGTAAGTTTCATTGAAATCAGTTAATAATTGTGGTCTGTAGCCGTGCCACATGAAATGTGTGGTAACCTGATATCTCGGAAACCGCTAACCGGAAGTGGCCGAAATTTTGGCTAGTTTGAGCTCTTAATACTCTTATTATAATCTGTAAGTTTCATTGAAATCGGTTGATAATTGTGGTCTGTAGCCGTGCCACATGAAATGTGTGGTAACCTGATATCTCGTAAACCGCTAACCGGAAGTGGCCGAAATTTTGGCTAATTTGAGCTCTTAATACTCTTATTATAATCTGTAAGTTTCATTGAAATCGGTTGATTATTGTGGTCTGTAGCCGTGCCACATGAAATGTGTGGTAACCTGATATCTCGGAAACCGTTAACCGGAAGTGGCCGAAATTTTGGCTAGTTTGAGATATTAATACTCTTATTATAATCTGTAAGTTTCATTGAAATCAGTTGATAATTGTGGTCTGTAGCCGTGCCACATGAAATGTGTGGTAACCTGATATCTCGGAAACCGCTAACCGGAAGTGGCCGAAATTTTGGCTAGTTTGAGATATTATTAATGTTATTATAATCTGTAAGTTTCATTAAAATCGGTTAATAATTGTGGTCTGTAGCCGTGCCACATGAAATGTGTGGTAACCTGATATCTCGGAAACCGCTAACCGGAAGTGGCCGAAATTTTGGCTAGTTTGAGCTCTTAATACTCTTATTATAATCTGTAAGTTTCATTGAAATCGGTTGATAATTGTGGTCTGTAGCCGTGCCACATGAAATGTGTGGTAACCTGATATCTCGGAAACCGCTAACCGGAAGTGGCCGAAATTTTGGCTAGTTTGAGCTCTTAATACTCTTATTATAATCTGTAAGTTTCATTGAAATCGGTTGATAATTATGGTCTGTAGCCGTGCCACATGAAATGTGTGGTAACCTAATATCTCGGAAACCGTTAACCGGAAGTGGCCGAAAGCTAGTTTGAGATATCAATACTCTTATTATAATCTGTAAGTTTCATTGAAATCGGTTGATAATTGTGGTCTGTAGCCGTGCCACATGAAATGAGACTTGTCACATGTGGCAAATAGTCTCCGTATTGTCTTACCACATGTGGCAAATAGCCCCAGCCCTAGATCTACCCCGTACATTTTTACGAATGTCAAGAATCAATCTGTATCAAACAAAGATGTGCGCATACTATATAAACATTACTTACCTAAACTGCAATGTTGGGTGTTGACTGTAGTGTTCAACCATAGAACTATACCATCTATGGTTCAACTATTGTGCTCGATGCAGAGGGATTCCTCTTTGCCTCTAACTAACGGTATTCGCAGTAATGGCGCCCAGGAAGACCGATGACGTCACTCTAATTTAAGCACCCGTATGTCATATTTACAGAAGAAATTTCGACTTCTCAAATATTTACAGACTTGTGTCTGTTATCAGGATGACAGAACTGCGCTGTAGGCGTTTTACAGAAACAATAAAATTGTAAAAATTACAGAAAAGGCTTACAGTGTACGTATGGTCCCTTGCCAGGGCTTTCCTCCTACTCCACTGAACTTCTGAAGTGAAGTAATCTTGAGTGCAAACGTCCCACTCACTGACCCACTGTAGCTCCTACTTCATTCAGATTCCGGACATGGGAGCTCGGTTATTTTTATTCCATCCGAACGATATGTTGTCTCTTGCCAGACGCTTTGTCCCACACCACTGACAAGGGTGGACATAGCCAGAAAAATCACGATGAACTTATGAAGTTAGAGAGCAAATGTGCTACTCACTGAGCCACCGTAGCCCTCACTTCATTCGATTTCGGACAAGAAATCTCGTTTTTTATTTATACCATTCGAACGACTATACCACTGACAAGCCGGAACCACGACCGAAAAATGAGAACTTTGATGAAGTAAGAGAGCAAACGTCCTACTCACTGAGCCATCGTAGCTTACACTTCATTTAGATTCCAGACACGGGATCTCGGTTATTTGTATTCCCAAACGCTATACGTTGTCCCTTCTCAGGGCCTCCGTCCTAGGGTGGACATCGCCAGAAAAATCACGACGAACCTTGATGAAGTTAGAGAGCAAACGTCCTACTCACTGGGCCACCGTAGAACCAACTTCAATTTGATTACAGGCACGGGACCTCGTTTTTTTTAATCCCATTCGAACGACTATGCGTTGACCCTTGTCAGACTCTACATCCTACAACACTGACAAGACCACTCATTAAAAAACCCGATGAAAAGTTAGAGGGCAAAGAAAGATTCGACTGAAGACTTTTAAAATCGATTACAGAATACAATTCTATAGTATGTGCAAGAAGAGATTAAAATTGTTTAATTAGGACTATTAAATTTTCTAGACCTTCATACATTTCCGTATATAATTCATGCCCAAATATAAATGCCGATACGGTAGTCAGTGGACATGCGTATAAACTGCACTTCCGAGACGAGAAGACGAGAAGTCGAGATTGTGACGAAGCGAGGGAGCGAGAACACGAGAAGACGAGATTGACTCAAAGGCGAGGGAGCGAGATTACAAAGTTTTTCAAAGGCGAGAAGTCGAGGGCAAGAGTGCGAGAACACAAGGTTTTTCAAAGGCGAGAACACGAGGGAGCGAGAAGTCGAGGGACGAGGGAACGAGAAGTCGAGGTGAAAGTAATCTCGTGTTCTCGGGGCGAGATCCTCGTATTCTCACCCTATTTCCTCGTCTTCTCGCCCTCGTCTTCTCGTGTTCTCGCCCTCGACTTCTCACGGCGAGAACACAAGATTCTGAAATGGCCGCAATAGGCTTCCATAGTTATAGAATATTAGCGAAAATACCTTCAGCGATTGAACAATACTACTTAGGCAGACACAGCCCAATCACGCTAAGAGAAGGTCGTTGTTGTTCTTAATGTTTAAAGTGCACATGAGATGGGGGAAAAACTTTTTAATGCGTGTAGCCAGTGGTTACTATATCCACTTTACGGCAAGTTCATGCCAATCTGGTTGAAAGTCGTAAAAATAGACCTCCCGTAAAAACGACTTTGCCAATTATCGAAAACACTCTTAATCCCCTCAGACCCCAGTGACGTCACAGTGACCAAATGCTTTTCGGAATGTTTATTCCTTAATTACCTATATACAGCCGGCGTGTGTATTCTTGAACGCCTGAAGGATTTCTTAATCCCCCTAATTAAATAAAACAATTGACTACGGAATAATTTGTCTTGTAATTCATTTTAATTTAAGATCCAATTTAGAGTGCCTACAACTTTTAAACTTTGAAGTCCTGAACTCTTAATTAATTTTTTACAATATGGAACTTATTGGACGAACACTTTTAATATGTAAATAATATACGGGTCCAGCTATGTGGTTTTTACTGCGAGCACTTCGCTTTTCCACATAAAGTGTAGTGTCGTTAATATCTGTCATTGATTAATCAATCCGACTATAAAAGTTATACAGACATGGGTCATAAATTAATTTCAAGTTGGTGTTAGCAGTGAGTGTTAGTGGGATTAAGAATGTTGATTAGGTAATTATCTTTTTTTAGTCCGGCCAGATCAAAGACATCACTCTAAGTGGAACTTGTGCGTAATACCTCACGAACGAACTAATGGTAGAATCATACACACACACATTAATTGTATAAAATAATTAAGTTTTACTAATAAGTTGTTTAAAATTACTATATACCCAATAATTATTGCTCATCGGTGTTTTTGTAATCAAGTAGCCTCGTATTATTTGTTGATTGGCGTTTAAACAACATTTAATTGATGGATGGATTAACGCTTTTTAGATACGATTAGGTTATAATCTTCTTTATAATAAAAGTATTTTACAATTGCATCTCCTATTTTAACTTTCATTATGACAAAGTGAGAAGATGACCCGCCCTCTCTTCACACGACAACGATTTTAAAACCATTTTTAAAACCGTGTTTTAAAGTGATTTTTAGATATACAAGAACTTTTAATTATTTTAAATCTGTGTTAAAGTGACGTTTAGATATACAAGAACTTTTTATTATTTAGTGTTTTTACCTAACTTCTATTTTTTATTTAAGTAAATAACTTAATTAAATCAACCTGTCCACAATATCATGCATTATGTATTGGACGTTAAATTTGTAATAAACAACAATAACAGCATTGACAGTTTAATCACTCACCAAACGGCACCAGGAACTCCACGAATGATCCCGTGCAATTTTCGCGGCGAAGTTTAACCTCATTTACTACACCCGTAGTACATGGAACGGTACATGATAATAAGATACCAAGGGTTGATTGGCAGAGAAATGAGTGCGATCTATTGTACATGTTATGCATAGTCATCGGAAAATTCCATATTCACTGTAGTTGTTCTTTATGTATAGAAATGGTTATTATTATTATATATAGCTAATAATGAATATATCAACAAATGACTGGCACCGTTTGTATTTCTGTACTTAAGTTCGGGATATCAAGTATTACGGGGTTATCCAAATTACCGGTAAATGCGCTAATTCCTTGAGTCATCTTCATTTGACACGTGGCCTATTTAAACAAAGGCAACTTAAATTGATCTACGGCATGATACGGCATTTTAAATTCACTCTAAAATATTCCAATCACAAATGTCTAATCTATACCAATGAAAGACGATAATTCGGTGATTATGATTAGGCCAGTCACGTGGTAATTGGACCGTCAATAGACGCTTGTCCAGTTGCCGTGTGTATTGATAGTGCTATATTGTCGCCTATCGCTTGTTGGAAGTACATGTAAAACCCATGGCAGTTATGATAGATGTACAGATATTGTTATACAAATGTCTGTCGCTGTATCCACAAACACTAAACTCTACAGCTGATGTATTCCACCCTTTTACCTTATTCCCTTGTTATCTTATAATGATGATTATAGATTAATTACCGAATGCAAAATATTTATTATGCCATCGTATAATATAACATAGCTCACCTATATATTCTTATAAAATATTGTTACAAATTGTATAAGCACCAATTGTTTATAAACTGGAAGTATACTGAAATACATTTGTCTCTATGGCCACTATCCCTCTTTCTTTCCTTGATTACAGCAAGTGCATTTAATGAGTAAAATTGTATAGTAGTCGACAGCTTTTTTTTATTTGAAAGAACTCTTAAATATCTAAAATAAATTTAAAGTGTTCAATTTCAAAGAGCATATTTCAAGTAAATTTAAATCATATATGTACGAACATATACTTCCAGCCTAATTTGTTAATATTTAAATATTTCTGTGCATATAAGTATATTGTATATCCATAAACCTCTTTTATATGTGCCTTTTACATAACTCACATCATTCCACTTAAATTGATAGAGAGAGCACACTTAAGCTTGGGACAAACCTGTTTTCTAATGCACATGTAAACCTTTTAAAATTGTTTGATATAATAACTATAATCAAAACTCCCAGCAAAAATGTTAATCAATCAATCAAAGCATTTTATACTGGCCACTGTAGTATTATTTGAAATGTATAGAGAGAGAGAGAGAGAGATAAATGGGGTTTAACGTCCACTCGACACAAATTAGGTCATTTCGGGACTAACATATGGTTTAATTTTATTTACATAATTCGCTTCCGCGTAGGGGTCTTTAGCAGTGGGAGGAAACCGGAGGCCCCGGAGAAAACCCACGAGGTTGGACAGGCGACCCTACTCCTTGCCACGTACAACCGGGGATTCGAAACCACGCCAGTCGACTCAATGACAGACTTTATGATACAGCGCGCACGCTAACCATTCAGCCACCGAACACCCTTGAAATGTATAGCCACTGAAGATCGCTGATTGGCCCTTCTAACTTTGGATGTGTACAGTACCAGCTTGTCTTCCTAAATTGCTATCAACTTTCGATTTTCGGCTCCATTTCGTATAAAGATATGTGAATTTAGATATGAACGTCATATGTAGCACCTGATAGCTTTAAAAAGGAAAGATTTCGCTGACACCATTAAAATTTGACTTATAAACAAATTCAATGAAAAATGTTACCATGAAATAAATACAAAACGTTATTCATTACCATGATACAAAACATTATTCATAATATGAAACGAATACAAAACGTTATCCATGACAGTATTAACAGCAGCTTTCGATTCCAAGTATAAACTCCAGTTGTGTGGTGTACACACAAAACCGGTCCCCTGCACATTTGATACGCGCGATCACTCCGTGACCTCTGTCACAGACATAATTACCGTTATAATGTCGTCTTGACTCATAACCAACAGCAAAATCCCATGTCCGAAAAGGTGGCACAAAAAGTTTAACTTCCGTGATATG